CAAGGCCCTTACCTGGCGGACGAGAAAAACCACTTCCTGCGGCTGCTATAAAAAGCGCCAGCCCGCTGGGCGGGAAGGGAAGGGGAAGGGGAGGACCTTGCCCTCCCACCCCAGCCCCTTCCCCGGTACATCCTCAGGCGCCCGTGAAATATTCATTACAGCCGATGCTCAGGAGCTGAGACAGTAGTGTTTTGTCCGCTGAGATATCCTGGGACCAGCCTTCGACCTTAGCGAATTTATGTCCACTCAACTCCAATGTTACCGTAGAGGAGATGTCTGTCAAGTAGGTTCTAAGGAGCAATTGGAATTTCTTCAAGCAGTTTAATGTACGAGGGCTGTGCAAAAACTACGCGGATTGACGTCATAAAACAAAATGTACTTCACTCACAAATTAATGTCTATATCCCCTTCAAAGTACTCTTTCCAACGCACACACTTATCCCAACGCTGTTTCCACTTGTTGAAACAGTCATGGTATGCTGTTTTTTTAAATGTTTCTCAGCTCCTTCGTCGCATTTGCCATAATCTCGGGAATCTTTTCAAATCGTTTTCCTCTCAAGGGTCTTTTGAGTTTGGGAAGCAAGAAAAAGTCACAAGGAGCAAAGTCAGGTGAGTAGGGAGGGTGTGGAAGAACAGTGAACGATCGTTTGGCTAAAAACGCACGAGTTTTGAGGACTGAATGAGCCGGAGAGTTGTCATGATGGAAAAACCAGTTGCCACTCCTCCATTTTTCTGGCCTTCTCCGATTGATAGCGACCCTCAGACATTTCATAATATCTTTATAATAATTTTGGTTCACGTGGATCCTTCTGGGAGACGCTCGTCATGAATCAACATCACCTTCACCTTGGACCGAACTCGGCGAGCTTTTTTGGGTCTGTGGGATGTTTCACCCGTCCATTACGACGATTAGACCTTTGTTTCAATGTCATAACTATAAACCCATGATTCATCACCGGTTATGATCTTTGACAAAAAGTGTTTATCTTCTTCTGAACGATCAAGCAGTTTCTGACAACGCTGGATACGATCGGAATTTTGTTCCTTCGTCATCAGGCGTGGCACAAATTTCGCAACAACGCGGTGCATCTTCATTTTCAGTCAAAATCTCGTGTCTTTCAGCTGATATCCCACACTCTTCAGCCAACTCGCCTATTTGCTCGTACCAGGGTATTGATTTTGTCGTCGTGTAGGTCGTCAGTTGACGAGGAAGGACGTCCAGAACGCTCGTCATCTACAATGGACTTTCGACCATCTTTAAAACGTTCATGCCACTTGAAACATGCCG